CCTCTCTGTGATCTGCCCAGGTTGTAATGAACCTCTCATCTGTCTGTGGAGGCTGTCGCACTTGGCCTCTACACCACTTTTTCTCAACCTATGGGTCATGACTCAAAAGTGGGTCATGAGAACATGTGAAAGGATTGTGAACAAAGTTTAAAAAATGGATTAACAAACATCAAAATGGATAACATGGGAAACGATGGCTTTACCCTTGCAGGCTGGCAGAGTTAGAGCCTTCAAGGGGCTGCTTGGGGGTCTCCTGCCCCGCACATACCCCAGGGGCAGAGGGTCAGGCGTGAGGGGCACTGGGTCAGGACTGGCCATCGATGTTTGGGTCCTGGTACAAAAAGGTTGATAACCACTGCGTACACCTAGGAAGTTGGTCAGGACAAATGTGACAACCTCCACAGACAGATGAGAGGTTCCTTAGAACTGGTGGGATCAGAGAGAGTGACCAGCAGGCATGAGGGCGATGAGGGTGTTTTGGGGAGAAAGCTATGAACTTCTTCCTAGATAAAGAATGAGCACTGTGGAGCCACGTACAGCTTTTTTTTTTTTTTGATGATGATGATGGTTTTAATGACTAAAACTGGAATTCAAGAAACTTATTTCAAGAAATCTCTGCAAACAAGATTCCCCAGAAGCACTAAAGCTATGCTGTCCTTGATGGGCCCCCAAGGTGATAACTGGTAGGAGTTTTACCAGCACATGCTCCCCCAGGAAGGGCCTCCTCCTCTGCTGCCATTACTTTAACACGCAGGTGCTATTTGTGTGTGTGTCCTTGGCCAGGGAGAGCAAGAAGTAAGAATTTGACCCCTCTGTTTAATAATAAATTTTCATCTTGTTTGCCATTTGTCATTCCTAGTTATTTTTCCTAATGAAACCTTGTGTGTCCCTGGTGGGTATAATTTGGTGCTTTTTTCCTATCCAGATGGATATGTCATGTTGAATAAATTAAATCCTGACTGACATTATTCAGATTCTTACTTCTTACATTTTTATTCATTTAGAAAGATAATGAATGACACCTTTCTTATTTAATTGATTAAATGATTACTTTTTTTTGGATTTGTGTCAGATTTCATTTGAATGGACATTGGAATTTGGTTAGAAGTGCATAAAATCAATATTATAATATTATAAGCAATATTATATGCATGTCCTTAAAAATACCTGATAAATGTAATACATTAAACCCCATTTTGCATTTTAAACTTAATTGATTTGTTAAACAGAGGAAACTGGATTGGATAATGGTTTCTGGTCACGATGTTTATCAAGATTTTGTAACCAACAGAGTTCATCCTTTTCATATTTTTTTCTTCCTCATCCTTCCTTAGAAAATAAAACTAAGCTTTCTTGCTTTTCAGTTTCTAATCTGGTACCTGGCTTTGAGTGACCTAAGCATTAAATTAAATAAATAGGAATAAAGAAGATTTTTTTTCTGTTTGTTAAAAAAGCTACTGCCAGCAAAAGCTGGTTTTAGCATTCCAGGAAGCTGGTTCTGAGTGCTTAGAAGGCAAGGTGTATTTGCCTAGACTAACCAAAGGGTGGTGCGAAGAGAGCGTATTCATGCACATCAGTTGCTGTGAAAGGGTATGCAGAAAGCAGAGTAAGATGGAGAGAGAAACTTGAATGCAAAAGACACGAGAGAGGGTGGGGGAAGGGGCAGCACTAGGAGAGGCAGTAGGAACAATGGAGTCACAATTGGGATAAGAATCCATAGTCCCTTCAATGGCAAATTTCTTCAAACTAATTTGAATGGGAAATTGCAGAACAAGAAATCATCCACAGAGTGGATGTTTTAAGTCCAGTTTAAACAGGGACTATGGATTCTTATCTCATTACCTGGATTAGTTTTTGTGACGTCTTTATTCATATGTTTGGGTTTTCCTGAACACGTCCCCTTTTTTGTCCCCTGTCCTCCATCCGTGCAGGTTTTTAAAATGCAAGCAAATGTCCAGGTTTTTGCTCTGCCTCTGCTTTTCCCTGGTACTACTGGCTTAGCTACTTGGGGCTGGCGGCAGCAGGGAAAGGTGATTGATTGTCAGGGATCATGTGCTCTGCACATGGGACTGGCAGCTGCTGGCAGGTGAGACAGACAGCTGTGGGATGGGAGTGAGGGGCACTGGCATAGTTCAGGAGTGAGAGGCAGCAAGAGGGTTGGGAGGGGGCTGTGGCTTAGGAGTGAGGGGCAGAGGCAGGGCATGGGCATATCACTGCCCCCCCCCCATCATATACCCCTTCCCCCTCCCTCCTCCCCCATAGGTGTGCTCTTTTTTATATTGGAAATATGGTAACCCTATTTATTCTAATGGGTTTACTGTTTGTTTGCCTCTCCCAACACTGCCCTTTTCCCCTCCCTCCTCTGTCGCTTGTATTCTAATTTCTCTCTCCTTACACTCTGCTTTGTGTACATATAAGCATACTTGCATACATACTTACGTATGTGTGCTCATGCCCTCTCTTTCTCTCTCTCTCTTTAGTCTATAATAGGGTTACCATATGTCCAGTATCATAAAAGGACACCAGTGCGGGGGAGGGAAGGAGTATATGATGGGGGGGAGGGGGGGCAGAGGCAGTGATATGCCCGCGCCCTGCCCCTGCCTCTCATTCCCAAGCCACAGCCCCACCCCAGCCCTGCCGGTGCCCCTTACTCCTGACCCACAGCCCCCTGTCAGTGCCCCTCACTCCCAACCTGCAGCCGCCTGCAGCCCTGCTGCCCCCAAAGAACCCTCCTACCCCTTTCCTCCACCTCCCCGCCCTGCAGCAGCCCCAGCACCAACAAGCATGCACATGCATACTCATGCACAGACTTACCTTCCTCCTGCTGCTGGGGCCTGCGCGAAGAGCACGTGATGCCCCGGCCTCCAATCGCCTTTCCCCACTGCCCCCACCCCTAAGCAGCAACTTGCTGGAGTAGAGGCAGAGCAAAGTCACAGACATTTGCTGATATTTAAAAAAAAACAAACAAACAAACTCGTGGACGGAGATGGGAGGACCCAAAACGAGGACATGTCCAGGAAAACCTGGATATATGGTTACTCTAGTCTATAAGATACAAATCTACCTTGAGTGCTAGCTAAGCTTTTAGCAGTTCAGTAGCTTGACTATCTACTCTAAAACTTTATCAGTAACCATAATGCTTGGGATCTATTTAATGGCTATAATATTAATAGATCATAACAACTTTAGCTTTAACTAGGTTGTCAAATTTAATTTAAAAGATGTGCTCTTTAAAAGGAAAAAATAGTACATTAAAAATATATATTTTTTTAATCTGTTATTTTTATCCTTGTATAGAACCTTCCTTAAATTTTCCCTTGACCTTGAATTATCAGAGATGTTGACACTGGTCTGGAAATTAATATGGCAAGTATTTGACCTTAAGTTGTTAACATTTCAGTCCTTGATTTACAGTGTACACTGTACAAAATGCACAGCTTCAGGACTTAAAGGCTATGTACTTATCCAAACTTAGTGTGAGCTAAGGCTGTCCAACTTTTGAGCAGCCAGGGGCTGCAAACCCAGGGGTCCCATGACCCATGCAGCTATCTGCATGCCATGTGCCCTCCCTCCTTACTATCCCCACGAAGGTATCCTGATGTTTGTCCTCTCTCTTTCCTCCTCCCCCCTGGCTCCCGCCTTCTGCTCCTTTCTCCCTTTCTCCAGGGCAGGTTCAGAAAAAAAAGGTGGAAGAGGGTAGGGTAGCCTTGAGATCCTCATAACAGCAGCCACAAAAGGAGAAATGCCTGGGTGGGAACGCACAGGCTGAGTGTTAACCCCATGTGGCACATGGGCCACTAGTTGGACAGCCCTAATTTAATCAGTCTACGCAGGGGAGCCAGGATTTTATTTTTAGTAAGGTCTTTATTGTCCCCACCCCCCCAGCTGATTTTGTGGAGATTGCCCCATGTTGAGACTTCTGCAAAATTGCGATTTGAGTAGGTCCCTATTTATATCACTCTGTGCTTGAGCAATATGCAGACAACAGAAGTTTGTTACTATCTGCAGTAAGTAGCAAATTGGGACTGACCTTGGTGTCACATTCTTCAGTGAATTATATATGTATGCAGTGCATGTGTAAGTGGAGTACACTGTCTCCACAGCAGTTTTAGCTATCTTTCGATTGAGATAAATTGGAATTGATTTCATAGTATGCCATCACATAGGTCATCATATAGTTAGGTTATCTTTCTTTCTTCTAAATTCTTGTGCGGCAGTGTTGCAGGACTACAGGTATGTGTTGAATTTGACCAATATCTTTTAAATCCTAGCCACTGTTTTGATAGTTAAGAAAGTTGTAGTTTATGACTGTAGTAAGATTATCACCAGGGATCCGTCTTTTCTGTTTGCGATGGAAAAATGTGGTAAACCGTGAATTTTCCCCTTTTAAGGAGAAGAACACGGATTTTTCCCTTTTAAGGAGAAACATGCAGGTTAAGGTGGGTTTCCCCTTGCCGCCTGGCAGAGTTCCAACCTGCAAAGGGCTGGGGAGAGCAGGAGGAGAGTGGTCAGGCAGGGGACGCCATATGCACTAATGCACATGGCCACCAGGTGGCCTGGAGAGCAGCTCCTGTAGCTCCCGGCAGGTAAGTCAAGGGGTGGTTGAGGCCCCCCCATAGTGAGGGAGGGAGTTGGGCAGGGCTGGGGCTGCTGCCCAACCCAGACAGTGCATGCAGCTTTTGGCCTGGCGCCATGCATGGCCGCAGGGCCTGGGCTGCGAGTGGTTTGTCCAGGGAGCGAGGGATCCTGCCCGCCCGCTGCTGCGCATAGTCCCGGAAGGGGCATGGGGAGCACAGGCCCCTCAGATTTGTGCATGGGGTAGGGTGGGTGCAGGCTGCTGACTGTGGGCTCAGGTTCCCCACCCTGCTGTCCTCCCCCCAGGGCTTCCACGTCCCAGTGGGCGGGACCTAGTGTGGCAGGGCAGAGTGGGTTGGGGAAGCTTGGTGCCATCGCTGCAAGCCCCACGCTGCCATGGCGAAGCACCTCCTGCCCCCCTGGCACCAATGGGGATGGTGGCACAGAGATGTGCCTCCCACTGCTGCTGGGTGGGCATGGGGTTCTTCACCATGGCAGCACCAGGCTCATGGCAGCAGCACTGAGCTTCCCTGCCTGGCCCAGCTCTGCACTGCTGTGCCAGGTCCCGCCTTCTGGGCCTCAGAGGCCCTGGGAGGAGAGCAGCAGGACAGGAGCCTGAGCCTGCAGCAGGCAGCCCACACCCACCCACCCCCCACGGGCTCCACTCTAGCTGTGCTGCCTGTGGGCAAGAGGGAACCAGGCTCCATGCTCCACGCCCCATTTGTGTTGTAGCAGCCGCTGCCTCCTGTGGGCAGCAGTCGGGGCTTGGACACTGCTGTGGGGAGCAGGGGGCTACAAACCCAGACCCCTAGTTCCATAATTCTGGCAGCTGGGGGGTGGGGGCGGTGGGCGGTGAGCTGTGGGTGGGGAGTGAGGGGCAATGGCATGGGCAGGGCACCAGCATATCAGGGCTGTTCAGTGCCACAAAGCGGTGTAGGGGGGACAGCCGCAGCTGGACCCATGTCCTAGTGAGTGAAGGGTGCAGGGACAACCCTGATTTTTCTATGATAAAAAACCCCAAATTAAATGCCAAAATGTATAGTTATTTAGAATTTATTTTATTATAGTGATAGAGGCACTAGTAGGTTTCCAAATTGCTTCAAAATTGAAAATTATATCAATAAAACATTGTATTCAGCTGATATATAATGGTATTTCATTTTAATTGTGGATTTGTGGGCTTTTAATCAAAGAATTTGGGGAGGCGCGTTATCAGAGAACTTGCAATTTTTAAACAGAGAAAACCTGGATATCACACAGGTTAAAAATAAAATCATCTTTGCTTCAAATGATGACCAGGCTTCCTGTCATATTCAGCTAAATTAATTTGAAACTTTTTTTTTTTTTTGCCCATGATGTTGCAGCACTGTAGTTAACAAAAAGTAACATTTGCTTTAGTGAAGTGCCAGTGTGAAACCTGATGCACTATTTTAAGCTTTTTACATTCCTAGCAAAATGGAATAAGGAAATTGAATGTGAAATAGTCTTTCCATAAATAATCTTGATGACAGTAGAGCATCAAATAACTGTTCATTTTGACCACATGCCATATTTAAACTTTTACTTACAGGTAGCATATGATTTTTATTCAGTAAAGAATGTGGGTTTATCATATGACTAGCTAATTGCCCGTCAAGAATGACAGATTCAGATGGCCCCCTCACCTCCCGCTGACCCTTCCGGGCCGGCCATGTAAAGACTCCCTCTGCTGCTGCCACCTCCTCCAGCCTCTGGTGCTGGGGCTCTCACCCCCTGCCCACCTCTGCTTTGCAGCAGGGCTTCCCCCCACTTCCCCTCCCCTCCCCGCTGCCTCCCACTCCCTGCAGCTGTTGTCGGGGCTGGGCAGCACCACCACTGACCCCCCCCCCGCCCACACACACACTTCTCCTCCCCGCTTCTCTCCTTCTTTCCTTCCCTGCCACCTGGCCCCGACGACAGCTACCACTGTGACACCCCACCTTCACCTCCCCCCGCCTTGTGCCCGCCTGGGCCTGCGCAGCCTCGCTCTCTCCCTGCCGGCCTCCCCTTCCCTGCTGGCCTCCCCCTACCTGCCAGCTCCCCTTCTTCCCTGCCGCCCAGCCCCGACAACAGCCACCACCGTGACCTCCCACCACCTCGTTCCCCTCCCTCCCTGCCCGCTGCATCCCCCTCCCTGCCAGCTATTCCGGGGCGTGGCGGAGGTGCACTGCCACCATGGCCTCCCCCTTTGCCCTCAGGCAGGGAGACGTGGAAAAGCATCATTGCTTGGATGGCTGGGGCATGTTCGACACCACCACAAACTTTCCCGGCAGTGGCTCAAACGGGCCTGCGCAGCCAATCACCGTGCACCCTCTTGGCAGCGCATGCACAGCTGGCCAAAAGTATTACGGACAGACAGACAGACAGACAAAGCCCTTTATTATATTAGAATGATTGTGGGAGGAAGTTTACTGAGATTTGCTTAAATCATAGCCATTGAAAACTAACATATTGTAATGTTCCAGATGAAAATGAAGATTTGCGTAAGCTTGCTGAAAAGGAAATCATTTCTTGCCAGGAAGAGGTAGCTGAACTGAAACGCCAGGTATATTCCTTTTAAGAGTAATATTGCCTACTGATTAAGCACTGTTAAATTGCTAAGAGTCAGACTGAATCCCAATTTATAAACATAGAATCTTATTCAGATAGTTTTGTTTGTTTCTTTGTTTTTTCCATGTGTGTTATGCACGTCTATAAAGCTTGATGTGTGGACCTCCTAGGATTCACAGACTATAAATACCAGTAAGACTTCCTCCTTTCTTAGGCTGCAGAGTAAATCCTTTGATTAATTTACTACGTATTTGTACGCTTCAGGTGCCTTGGGTCCTTATCTACTGAGAGCAATACATAGAATCATTGCAAGAATAGGCTTTTGTTTAAGACATTTTAAAACGTTGTAGCTATTACTCAACTGTTAGTTTGTATAGATATCTTTATAGTAAAATCTTTACTGAAATATATTCCCTCTAGAATGAAGGTTATTGCTCAAATCTGATCTGTTGAGACAAAATTAGTTTTGCCCCAAGTTCTGCTCTTCAATCAAATACTTGTTTTATATGTTGTTCACAAAAATATGCAAAAAGATTTACAGGAGGAGTATATTAGATGCGAAGAACATTCATTTAATAGGGCAACCAGTAATAGGTTGAAGACATTACAGAAAAGTTCAAAATTTGAGGTTGGCCCATCATGCAAGTCTTAAAGTATATTAATTAGGAAACTTCTGGTTTTGATATCAGTGCATCTTTAATTTCAGGTCTTCCCAATTTAAAAATGACAAAGTGCAACAGTGCAATTCTGGATATAGAAAAACATATAACGTATACTGACTTTAAAACATACTGGTATAAGAGGCTCTGACATAAATGTTAGGTCTGTTTAGTCCTACCTACAACAATACAGGTGAAGCAAAACTGTTGTAATTAACCTTGTTTCATTCAGGGTTAAAGTTAAAGCAATTTAGCTTGCTTATCACTGTTGAAACAGACATAACAGTTAAATTGGAATAACTAATTTGCACGCCTCGGGCACAAGTTCCCCACCCCTTCTACAATCGTTTAAGGTTACATCTAATCATAGCTTTTGATGCACTTTTGCACTTTTTCAGTCAGAATTATTCAGCTAATAAGTTAGTATTGAGTTTAAATGAGCACAAGTTCAAAAGAGACTTGGTTATCAGGAACTCATCAGCATTTTCCAGAAGAATACACCAATTCTGACTCCTGAAAAACTCTACAAGGTCAAAAATAGTCTTCTTTTAGCACATATATATGGGGCTCCAGGAAGTCTTAATGCTCATGTATTAGTGGAAAAGTCACTGGAGTAATATATACTTTGTGTCTTGGGCATGTCACTTCCCCTCATCATCCTTCAGTTTCCCATCTATTAAATGAGGATGGTAATAACTTCTTTCCTTTATAAAAATCCCTTGAAACCTGAAAGTGAAGAGTGCTATATATTAAGGGGAAAAATATGTATAGAATGCCTACATGTTGTGTTTAAGCCCTGAATAGAGGGGTAAAGCACTAAGAAATCTACCTCTCTGGAGACTGTCAATAAGCTACTGTAATGGAGTACAACACAGAATGATAGCATAAATGTATGGCATTCTCGTCATGAACTGAGGTGTCATAGGAAGATCTTAGACGGGTAAAAGGGGGTGTCATTTTTGTATTCACAGATAGTATTGCTTTTGATTCCTTCAGAAGAAATGGACAACAATGACCTTGTCATGGAATTAGCTGCTGGAGTTGGAGGACAAGAAGCCATGCTATTCACTGCAGATATATTTGATATGTATCAACAGTATGCTGCTTATAAAAGCTGGAGCTTTGAAATACTGGAATACTTTCCCAGTGAAATAGGTTAGTAGTTATTCATTGAACTTAAGTAAAACTTAGGAGACTGGGGGGTGGGGACTAAGGGCCCAGAAGGTAGAGGAGATGGGAGTCTACGAGGGATGGTCGTACCTTAAGGGGGTGATCCTCCAGGCCCAAAGGATAACAGTCCCTGAGAGAAGCAAGGTGGGGTAAGAGTGCTCAGAAACCCCCTTGGCTCAGCAAGGGCAT